GGGTTATTATTTACGTCATTAAAATGTTTCAAAAAATGTGATGAATAATCAAACTGTAAGTAGGGGGAGCAGGGTGAAGATTAGTAAGTCTTGACTAGGGTTACGTAATACCAAGGACACCCAGAAAAAGCATGGAGACACGTGTCCAAAATAAACTATATAATAGAAAGAGTAATTAAAGGGTTGGTTAAGAAAAAGATGTTAAGATATCATACAAATACTCAAAATAAGCTTTATCAGAAAAGTAGTTAACTTTAAATTAAACGCAAAGTAGAAGGAGGGGGGGGGGTGAAGAAGTTTCTTCTGTGTGCATAAAACTGCGTTTTCCATCCGGAATGGTAAGGCCTCGACAATGCAAAGTATGCAGAAGCTTGCCGTTTTTGGTAGATTTCTTTTGAATTTGAATGAATTCCCTTACATAGTGAGTGAGCATTATTGAATATATGTTCATATATAGCACTTCTTTTTGTTCCACTGTTACCCTTTCGTAGTCAAACGACTACTTTGTTACCAATAATATTTTTTAATTTTCGCACGACATTTTAGTAACATATTTTTTTTGCCTAACCCTCCACTTACTTTTTTTACCTGCTACATCATTTATTTTGGACACGTGTCTCCATTCCCTTTCACTAACATTTTATTTTCTTTCTGGGGTTTCTTCGACATTACGCAATCCTTGTCAATATTTACCAGTCTTCACCCTCACCCTAGTTACAATTTGACTGTTCATCATATTTTTTGAAACATTATGATGACGTAAACAATATCCCTAACTAATTTTTATTTTTGTCTGGTAAACCAAAAATAATCATATGTGATCGCGGTTGTAGAGCTAAGTGAATGAATTCGTTGAAAAGAGACACTTCGCTGAAATGTTTTTTTTTTATATTCATGTCTGGATAGCTATTTTAAACAATTCAGAAAGTTGTGGGAATACAGTGATATGACGATAGGCAATGAAGTTTGCTAAAAACGTCACCACATTCTTATTGCTGAATCAATATATGTAACAGGAAGAATTCATTAGCTTCCAAATGACCTTTTAAATTATTCCTAGTTGGTGATTTGTTATCTGTGAAATATTCGACATTCAACTTATTTAGATCATATTTCTGTGCGTCGGTGCACAGCAGTTAGGTCTCTCACCGATCATGCACATGGTCCGGAGTTCGATCCTCTGCCAACGACGCACACCTGATATCTATGGTCGGCCTGAAAAATTTCGGCTACCGATATCACATGTTGAAAATTCCATACCGGTACCAAAAATACGGTGTGGAATCAAGCTGTAATAAAAAAAATGGCAGTTTATTAACCGTAAAAAGGACTGACGATATGCATATCGATGAACAGTTGTTCTATATTCTGATATCAGATCGTTGAGAATTTATACGATTGGTAGTTTTCTATAAGAAGCGATCACTCTTCCAAATTATCAACCAGTGCGACTGATATATCATCGAGTGTGAATCGTATCGATCAAATAGCTGGTCAGATGTACCACAAAAACACAGTCAATTCAAGAAAGGCATTGAGCACAGTCAGAGGTGTTATCTAGCGAATGAACTTCTGTATTAAATTACATGGCATTTCACAATGACCTACTTGTTAAAACTTATCAACCTAGAGGAGATTTATACTGTTATTTACATGTTGGTTAGTTGATGACTTGATAAGATTTGCAATGAGGCTTGATTTGATACCATCTATCGGTTACAATAAATGTAATTAGCGAGTGAAATTACAATATTTAATCGTAAACTCATACTAGAAGCGTGTACAATGCTGTATGTAGTAAAACGATTATGTGTTACAAAGGATATTTTTGTCTCAACAGAACATCTATCTTTTATTCAATTGTAGGTGTGAAATGGATCTTGCTTCTGAGTACCAACATTTGTACTCTTTAGGTTGTGCTCCAAATTGGTCGTTTGTTATTTGTTTTATGAATGTAAGTATTTTCTAGAACTGTTTCACCTCATGGGAAAGTTTATTCCAGTTGAATAAGTCATCTTAGAAATTGAAAATATAGTGATGATGTATGAATCCATGTCAGTTTTACTATTAAATAGATCATATAGTAATACATTTGACAATACATTGTGAGATATATAATACTCATGAGATAACATCATTACACTCTGTTTTATATCTCACAATCAAGCTAACAACATTGAATCTATCTAGACATCTAAGACATTCTGCTATGCTGTACACCGACGAAAAGTAAGCAAGCCATCGTTTCCGAGAAAATTAAACACTCATGAATTTATCGACAATTTTTATCACCACCAGTCTGAGGAATCAGATACTCAGTGATTTAGTTAGCTACAAATGATGAAGTCAACAGATGAACAATCGGCAGACCTCAAAAAGAAGTACAAATTATTTCCATCTGCATACACCTTAAAGTCTTTTTAACTCATGAATTTTGGTTAGATAGACCTTGGAGATATTTACTGTAACAGTATTTAACGCAGTTCTACTTCACTAAAAAGGGATAGTGCTTCGAAAATAACAATCTGGTTGGAATATTAATTTTTAAAAAGCTGGAAAAACAGCCGACCAGATGGAATACCCCCTGAAGCACTGAAAGCAGACCCAGAGACGACAGCAGACATGCTGACTCCATTATTGCAAAAGGTCTGGAAGGAGGGAAAGGTGCCTACTGACTGGAGGAAAGGTTACCTCGTGAAACTACCAAAGAAGGGCGACTTAGGACTCTGCAAGAACTGGCGAGGAATCATGCTCCTATCGACGCCAAGTAAAATCCTGAGTCGCATCATCCTGGAGAGATTAAAGGACGCACTGGAGACAGAACTCCGACCAGAACAAGCTGGATTCAGGAAAGGCAAATCATGTACTGACCAAATTGCAACTCTACGCATCATCATCCAGAACAAAGCATGGAATGGCAATCAAACCTCTACCCCAACTTTATAGACTTTGAGAAGGCCTTCGACAGCGTTGATCGTGAAGTAATTTGGAAATTACTCGAGTACTATGGCGTACCCCAAATATTCATCAACCTTATTCAACAGCTGTACTACAACGGCACCTGCCAAGTGATCCACAACGGAAGACTCAGCGAGGCGTTTGGAGTAAACACAGGAGTCAGACAAGGGTGCTTACTATCACCAATGATATCCCTAATTGTGGTGGACTGGATTATGCGTCAGACTGTGGGAAACGAGAAGACAGGAATATCCTGGACCGACGTGAAGAACCTAGAAGACCTGAATTTCGCGCGTGGATGATTTATGTTTGATGTCACACACAATCGAAGACTTACAAGAGAAAACCGACAAACTGGTCGAAGAAGCAGCCGACGAAGACAGGACTCCAAGTGAACATAGACAAGACGGAGGTTATGAAAATAACCAACCAACAACAGCAACAGCATCCAACGTCAATCACCATCAACGGGAGGGATTTGAAAGAGGGTACTTCACTCACTTATCTAGGGAGCAATGTCTCAACCACAGGAGGAACGGACGAGGATGTCAAATCGAGAATCGGGAAGGCGAGAAACACATTCATCAGCCTGAAATCAAGCTGGAAATCTTCGTCACTCAGCACCACCAACAAAATTCGGATTTTCAATACAAACGTAAAGTCAGTTCTTCTATACGGATCAGAAACTTGGCGGGCGGGTCACAAAGAATATTTCCAACAGCCTGTTGCAGACCTTTATTAACAACTGTCTTCGCTCAATACTGAAGATCAGATGGCCGGAAAGAATCACCAACAAGGAATTATGGGAACAAACAAAGCAAGAACCAATCGCCAACCAACAAATATGCAGGAGAAAGTGGAGATGGATCGGACACTCGTTGAGGAGACCGCTGGGTGACATCGCGCGCCAAGCCCTCGAGTGGAACCCGAAAGGGAAGCGGCGTGTGGGACGTCCAAGGGTGACATGGAGGAGATCATGTGAAGAGGAGTTGAAAGAATATGGATTAACATGGATGCAGGCGAAAAGTATAGCAGGAGACAGAAGAAAATGGAGACGTGCAGTTGAAGCCCTATGTTCCACTAGGAACCCAAGGGAGCAATAATAAAATAAAATAATAATAATAATTTAAGTGAATGTTTTCAGTGTTGTTGTACTTTTTCCGGTAGATAATGTGATGCACAAGATCCACTAACACTGGAAACTATCACTAATTCATATTAGTGTTATGGTCGTCTGTTGCAATCCGAAGTGTAAGCCGGATGTACAATATATGAAACAATGTTTCATATATATCCACTGTTAGCTGAAGAAAGTAAGATAACGAAAACCACAATCAGGGAGTACTGGACAGATGCTGTTTCATCCTAGTTTAGGAATCATCGCCAGTATGCACCCACTGAGATTCGAACCCAGGACCTTCTGGTTACAAGGCAAGCTCGTATACCATTCAGCCACTGGGACCCGATTCAATGGCCACTCCATGAATTCTAATTTCCACCAATTCATGATTTAGCGCGACCCCAACCATTGTCGTTGGTGGGACATCCATCCACACACGTGACATTTAATTGGACCTCATTGGTCACGACTTCTCACTTGAACTCAAGAAACTCCAACCTATAGCAAGTCACTAGCGAGTATCAGATTAATTTTCTATAGTTTTGGTTTGTAAGGGTTAGTTATGTTTTTACGAGTTTATCACGGATTGATATCAGTTAGAGAACTATTGAAAACCAGGGAGTACTGGACAGCTGCTGTCCATTTAGATGTCAGGTGTGTGGATGGATGTCCCACCAACGACAATGGTTGGGGTCGCACTAAATCACGAATTGGTAGAAGTTAGAATTCAGGAGTCATTGAAGCGGGTCCCAGTGACTGAATGGTATACGAGCTTGCCTTGTAACCGGAGGTCCTGGGTTCGAATCCCAGTGGGTGCGTACTGGCGATTATTCCCAAACTAGGATGAAACAGCAGCTGTCCAGTACTTCCTGGTTTTCAATGGTTCTCTAACTGATATCAATCCGTGATCAACTCATAAAAACATAACTAATCCTTACAAACCAAAACTATAGAAAACCACAACATTAAAAAAAGAATTAATTCGTTAAAAAGTAAAACTCTATGATTTTCAAAAAAATAGATTTGGTTAAACTAAAAACTTATAGCAGAAGAATCTATACACAGTATTGCCATTGGATATAGATACATATCACTGAGTACATTGAATAAATAAATAAATAAATATGAACAAAATTTCTTATGGACAAAAACAATAGTTAATAATGACTGACGTGTAATAACAGCTGAAAGTCAAGAAAATACATTAAAAGAAAGAGAGGAGACAAAAACAAGAGTTGAATTCATTCATTAGAGATAAAAAGTCTTCACAGTACAGCCATTAGAATACTCACAGTACTGATGGTGGTAATGATATGCAGTTAAGGAAATGAAATATCAAATCGTCAGGCTGACGTTAACACACACACACACAGGCCAAATAATAATAATGAGACAAATTAGACTTCAATTACGACTAGAGAGAAAGGAAGAATTCTACTTTACATACATTTGTTGAATATTGACTTCACTCTGTTTTAAAAATCAATACAATCTTGTTGCTTATTTGTTTATTTATTTAAACAAACCAAAATATTGAAACTTGAACCAATGGCATGAATTTATTATTTAAAACAAGATAGAATAAAAAAAACCAAAATAATTTACTATCAGTAATTATTTATAACATCTATGTATATATATACTCTACAAGTGATAATTATTGTATGCAAAATTATCTCTTTTAGGAAGCATAAACGAGAGATAACAAGAGGGTGGACAAAAAATACATCACTCTGAACGTAGGGAAATGTTGTTGAATATAAATAGATATTTCGTTAGAATAATCCCCTTAATATATAATCTTCTTTTGATTATCAACTATCTCAGTAAAATAGACGATATCACAGTCAGAAACAGTAAATACAGAGTATATAATGATGGTAATGTTTATCATGATGATGGTTGCTAGTGTCCACAATTGACGATTGTAATACAATTTATCTAGTGATACAAATTAAGGAGGACCAGAAGTGTATGCTGCATCATCTGAAGGCAATGATTTTGAAGTCTGTTCAGCATGATCTGTATCAGAAGAAACTGAAGTAGATGAAGATGAATGTTCACTGATTATATGAGTATTTTGAACTTCTGTATTTGTAAAGGTTGTACTATTCGTTGTATTCATGGAAGAAGTGATATTAGACGGTGGAGTAACTGTGTTGAGTGGTAATTTAGCCAATGATCGATAAGAATCTAACCATTCATCTACCATGTTGTCAACAAGTGGATGTTTTGCATGCAACCGCAATCGAGCAAGTGGTAGTCCACGTCTTGTACATACTACATCCAACCAATCTTGCAGAAGTGTATGGGAGAGTTTAGCCTGCAATAATAATAATAACAGCACTAATAATAATCGCCAATGAATCAACATTTCTTTGTAACTACTGAATCTAAATGATTTTCTACACAACAATTATCAAAAAAATAGAGTTTGAAGATTGTACTGTTCTTGGAGCTTTGATTTTGATTGTGGGCGTTTCATCACTAGGTTTATTGAAATGTCAGTGAAGTTAATACCAACAGTGTTACCAAAGCCTGGTGAACAAACATCCACGATCCAATAATCAAAGTTCGAAGAACAGCAAGCAATGTCTATTCCCATTATCACTAATATTGTAATAAAGATTCTACAAGTGATCCTTTTGATTACCGAGAAAAACAAACAAGAGACTGTCACAGCAAACATTAAATCAATATTCCGTTAGTTCGATTAATATAAATCATAGTTATCAAATAAATCCCGTCTTCTTTCTACTTCGGTCGTATTTAAGTGATTAGCTATTCATTGTATTACTTGAAAATGCAGTAATTAACCAACAGGCAAAATATTACCCGTAATTTTAAATTCACCAGACGATTTTCACAGTATAACATTCAGTTCAGAAAGTCAGCTATCGATTAGGATAGACTGAATAGTTGTCAAAAGTAGAACGGAAAATTTTGAAGATTGAATAAAAACCACTTCCTGCATAGACAAATTCTTCACCAGAAGCAAATATGCTCAACCTAAATTTACATAATGAAATCAAATCACTTATGTTTCTAAGTGTTGGGTTAATAGTCAATAGATCTATAGTAATCTGGTTTAAACTAATTAGAGTTGGAAACAGTTTCAAAATGAAACCAAACATCTAGTAAATGTGTCATTATTTTTAATGGAAGCTTACATATTTTCTTATGGTTGAACACTAGGTAGAAAGTAACTACTGTCATGTGTCTAGATTTCTTTTTTTTAGTGCATACTGAATTCAATCAGTCAACTTTGCAATGTGGCCACCACCATGTTAGGTAGCTCTCTATCACGGTGCACTCTGAATTGTTGTTATCAGATAGTTGAAGGCAATCGGTAAGAAGCATTGGACTGATTATAATGACTGAGCCCTCACACACGAAGCACTGTATTCATTGACGCGCCATTTAGAACGATGGATTCTTGAGGTCTTATCATTTCAGACAGTTGAGGATAGTAAGAAGATCTTGGAGACCAAGCACTGTTTTACTTGTCAGGCAAAGTTCCCATTGGAAAGAGTGGCCTGGACAATGATCACTCTGAAAAGACTGTTCTCGTTCCACCACCTTATTCAAAAGTCTGTTACTCATAATTTGATTCTTAAAAAAATGAAAGCAAAATCATAACAATGAATACTTTTTGAATGGCTACGTGTAGACTGTCTCCAACATACGGCATTGAACGTATAATTGCACAAAACTAATCTATTTTCTTTTTGGGATACTTGAAATTGATGTACTGTTTCATGCTGCAAGCAAAGCAGTCATGTCTGTCTGTCTGTTTTCGACATAGAACTTTGCACTGATCTGCGGCAGTTCAAGTCGCCACACTCCGTGTAGCACGCGAAGCAAGAGAAGAAAGTACAAGAAAAGCATAATAGAAACAGTGAACAGAGGTGTGAGACAAAGGAAGAGTAATAACAAAGAACCAAACAGTTTCATTGGATATCATAAGTCACAAGGAGTGGATGCATCTGCGCCCATCCATTGAGAACGATTTTGAGCCATATCACCAATTGTTTCCAACCATTGGTTTTTACCGTCCCGAGGACCCCAGCCAGTCAGGAAGTCTACACCTTCCTACATGGCTTAGACCAACTGTTGTGGATTTCATTGACTGGTGCAGCCAAGTTTTTGTTTGACCGCCGCTAGCTTTTTTCCAGCCTGACCCTATATCCGCAAACATTGCTCGTCGCGGGAGGCGATGGCTTGGCATACGTAGTCATGAGGTATCAACTTACCCACATACCAACCAACATCGGAACTCAAATTCAATCTAATTAACCAATAAACTCCAACCCTTCCTTTCAGTAAACCTACACTGTTAATAGGAATGTAGAACTTTGGACACCGTGATGGAATAGAGATCAATGTTAGTTAATGATAGCGTTAATGATATAACGTCGTCGACTGGATGACGTTTCAAGCATACATCATTGCTTATTTTCACTTCAATGTAATCTAATAATGTTTGACCTTATTAGATTTATGTGATTTTCCAATGCTTTTCTCTTATTACTGTGAAACTTTTCAAATATCTATAACGATGACGTTATGAAGTTCAACTTTTCTCGCCTTACTTTTAACAGTGTCACACTATTGGATCCTTTCTGTAGTTAAAGGTGAATTTGTGCACCGTGGTAGTCACACTTTTTTCCACATTAGATATCCCACCAGGATGTAGTCAACTTATGTAGTAGATGTACTGATTAACCCCAGTACACGAATTTTATATAACTACCTAACTTCAGAATGATCACAAGGCGTTGATATACAAACATCAAATGCAGGTGACAGAAATGATTCAACACAAAAAATCCAACAGATAGAACGAACTAACATAACTGTCTAGTAGTTCATGTTACTTCACCACATATCGAGTAGATTAAGAAAGGGAGGGGAACGAAATGGTCATAGAACGTTATAAGACAAAATAAACAAATACGGTACAAATGGCGTAATGTGATATTTCAATTAAGGCGAAGATAAGGTACAAACACCTCTCTATCAATGCGACGAGTTTTGAGTTACGTCAACTAGAGTCTCAAGTCATAGATAGGTTCAGATGGTCACATGCATCCTGACCAGGAAAACTAAATTTCCAACACAGCTTTGATTTATCACGTTCTGATCTAACAGCAGTTTGCTCCCTTCCAAACTGACTCTGCTCGGACTGACATAACACAGTGAGATAGATAGAGAGTAGACATGTATCCACCTTAAAGAGGTGGAAATTCACAATTCCTTGCCTATGAGTGTATACCTATTTTCCAGATTGTTTATAGGGTGGTTCTATCAAAACAGCGAAATACTACGAAGGGGGAATTTTGTTAATCAAGAAACCAACAAAGTAGACGTGGTATTCTATGCGAGTGATCAACACAATCATTTCACCCCCTGTAGTCTGATTATATATCATCAGAAGTGGAAAAGACTGACGTATATAAGAACCATCATACAAACACTATCCAAACACGTTCTCCAAACAGTAACTGAAGGCAATATGGTTTGAAGGAGTCCAGCATTGTGTAGAGTTGGGAGGTCGTCTCTCCTAATGCCTGAGGTTAGTACGTGTTAGGGAATAACTAATTAAAAACATTAGTAATAACCAGTAATGATTATTGGGAATACGAAAGTACCTGCCTAATATCTTTTTGCCTGGTTTGGCTACCCTGTTGGTAAGCATAAACCTCTTTCTGCAACCACCACTCTTTGTTCTACAGCTGTTTGTAGTAAATCAGGAAGTTCATGGTAGAATGCGTAATCAACGTTGCCCCAACCATAATAAACCGATGCCCAGACAGTGAGTGAGAAAATAAATCACGATGTAACGATCCTACTTGGTTCTAACATTGCCAATTAATTGGACAGAGCACCTTCAATAGTCAACTATGGCCTATCTTAGGAGTATGTTTTCTGCTTCACTACTTAACGCTAAGGTAACATTTGAGAGGCTACTTGACCTGGCTAATAAATCGGCAGATACTCCAAGAGCAAAATATACAGTAATAATACTCTGTTCAAGTGACGTCAACCAAATGACCGCCCTTGAATCTTATATGTTTCAAAAGCCACAATTTGCATACGAAGCGTTGTTGTTTATTTGGAAGTACAGTTTCAACAGATCAAAACCAAAGATGCTTTTACATGAGGCAACGTATATTTAAAGGTTGAAAGAGATGAACAAAACTTATAAAATAGAAGGAAGGACTATTGGCCAACGAATACTTAAGTGCAGAATAACATGTGCGGGAGTTTAATACATTACGGCCTCCCACACTGTGGAAAATTCTGTCCTATTGTTGAGTTTGAGGGATATAAGCATTTGTTCCTTGTAATCAGAAAGCTCAGAAAGAATCTGCTTGAGACTGGTTAAACGAGGTTGCAGTGTGTGGAGATTCGTTCGTACTAACATCATACCGCCAGCCACCTCTTAATAGGGTGTGGAATGGCTATATATATATATATATATATAAAAAAATATATATATAATTATTATATATATATATATATATATATATATATATATATATATATATATAAACTTACCTCTTTTTCTGTAGTAAAATGAATCGGTAATAAAGCACCTTGTCTGTCAACAAGTGGAAGATATACGAAAGCATTTTGTTGAGGTATTGCATTCGATACGGTTGTCCCAGTGCTGTTTGTTGATGATTCAACTACAGAGGTTATTTGTGCTTCTGACAGGGAAGTTGAAAGTGAAACGGTAGACAACGGTAACTGGGTGTAAGTACTTGTCTCATCCGGAGGTGTAGGACTGTGTTTACGTGAAGAAGAGGATGTACGCGGAGACGCAAAAGGTGAAGAAACAGTCCCAGTAGACTGGTTGATTTCTGAAGAAGTTTCATTGCTAGCAGAACTTGAAGCTATTGGATATGGTTCAACAGGCACAAGAGCCGTAAAATGTCCTCGTGTAAATCCCAAAACGATTGGATTTCGAGAACAAAATGACTTTTCCCAGAGTAATGGTAGGTAAATACCTAGAAATATAAAAATTAAAAAAAATATTGCAGTTTCCCGCCTATTACCTGAAGAGATATTTAAAAAATTTACAGTAAGGTAAGAGTGAATAGCTTGTGAAGACGTAACTCGTCCCATCCTAACAGTCTAGCTTAGTTTAGACTTTTCGAAGTCCAGTTTCATTTTATCGTATTCAATAAAACGAGTAAAATCCAATGAACCCAATTGATTCTTAAGAATACCGTTTTAATCCTACAGACTTTTTATTTCCACCTGCAATTGATTCTCACTATCATGTAAAATTGTTTTACCACTGTTAGATTTCATTGTTATAGCACTAGTTTAACGTTTTGTACTAAATGAATGATTGTAAATACCATAGTGTTTTACATCCATGATAAAAGTGCAAAACGTTGAAGAGATTTCTATAAACGAATAGTGAATGTGTTTTTTTAATTTGTGTCACATGATTTTCCCGTTCTACTAAAGTTCTCTAACAGGGCAAATGAGTGGTGTGCATACATAAATAATGACACCTATGAAGCGATGTTAAGATAATGACAGTTGGAAAGTGAACATCTCGTAAACAAGCCATCACATCCCAAATAACCTTTGACACTTACAGCCGTTCTGAAAAAATTCTGTACAAGAAAGTGTTGGAATAGATAGATTCAATGGAAAACCCAGATTGAAATACATACTTTAATATCTGCTCTGCAGTATCACTATGTCCTTAAATATCACATGATTGTCATACGTGTGGCCTAACTATCAGACAAAGGGAAATAAGCCGCTAGGCATTTACAATTAGCGTTTTTGATCCAAGCTCCATGTGTTTCTTTTTTTCATCCGCTGGAACAACTATCAAATTCCTTTTCTTATCCAATCTTCTGTTTACTCACCTCAACAACTAAATAGTTTATGTTTCCATGCTCTTTCATTAACAGCCAATTTTTCTGAACATTTTCCATATTACTCAACCTTAGTCTAAATTGACTAATCTTCACCTGTTTTGAAATAATCTGATGAAGCACGATGACCGCTTCACTTATTTGGGAAGTACCATCAGCCAGTGCCAACGGGTTGATCTCTGACGAAATCTCAGCATGGATACAGGGGGCTCGTTTCGCATTTCCCAGTTTACGCCGTCTCTGGCGTAGACGCGATATCCGGCTGACTATCGACCAAAGGGCGAGTGTACTGCTCATCAGTCCGCTCCGTCCTCCTTTATGGCTGTGAGACCTGGCCACTGAGAGTGGAAGACATGAAAAGATTAGCTGTCTTTGATCATAGGTGCCTGAGCTCTATCTCCCGTGTGAAGTGGTATAATAAGGTGAGCAACATTGAAGTTAGGCGTCGAGTTCTAGGTAAACAGGGAAATCAATCGACGAGGCTGTGAAGTTACATCGACTGAGATGGTTAGGACATGTGTTACGTATACCAAGTCATCGCCTTCCTCGACTGACTGGCAATGTTAGCGGATATAGGGTCAGGCTGGAAAAGAGCTAGCGGCGGTCAAACAAAAGCATGGCACCAGTCAATGAAATCTACAACAGTTAGTCTAGGCCACGTAGGAAGGTGTAGACTTCCTGACTGGTTGGGGTCCTCGGACGGTAAAAACCAATGGTTGGAAACAATTGGTGACATGGCTCAAAATCGTTCTCAATGGATGGGCGCAGATGCATCCACTCCTTGTGACTTGTAATTTCCAATGAAACTATATTGTTCTTCGTTATTACTCTTCCTTTGTCTCACACCTCTGTTTACTGTCTCTATGATGCCTTTCTTGTACTTTCTTCTCTTGCTTTGTGTGCTACATGGAGGGAGTGTGGCGACTTGAACTGCCGCAGATCAGTGCAAAGTTCTATGTCGATAACAGACAGACAGACAGAAACAATACTCCTAACTAATTTTTATTCCTTTGCTATTTATGCACACATTGAAAAAAAAAATAATGATATACAATTGCGATTGGACAGCTAAGTGGATGAGGAAGATTTCACTGAAAAGAGACTCTTCACTGAATTGTTAAATATCAAACTGACAACAGTCTACCAGCACAATAAGAGAAAGTAAATTCCTAAGACGCCATCATCTACTTCGGTCGACTGTTTTGAATATCTAAACCAAACGTTCACGTGTATTTCAAAGAGAGACACATAACAAGAGGATGAGACAATATAACATGACAAAGTATCACAGTTTTTAGCATTCTTTATTTCCAGCGCAATGACGATCCAGTGTGTATTGTCATTGGTGGTTCAGTATTACAGCCATCAAATCCTCTGGAATAGTTTCTACAACTAGATATTCACCTGAGTAGTTGTAATCTATTTCACAGTTGATTCGTTTCTCAGATTGGGTATTCAATGACCCTTACTAAAACACATGAAAACATACGAACACTTATTGGTTTTGGTTGGAAGACTTAAGACTAAACCAACTAAACAAACTGTCACCTATTCAGACATCTATAAAACACAAAATAATCGAGCAAAGAATATTCTTTTCGATAAATTCCTCTTCTGGCTCTACAGTTACATATATGTTTATATACACAAAATATTCAAGATTGGTAGTTAATAACAATATTGGTGTTTTTTAAATAATATCGATGTGTAAAGTATGATCAATGCAATTACAGTTCACTAAAAATACTTAAATTATAATAGTAATAAAGATATAATAGCGAATAGAATATCAACTGAAATTAGGGAAATTCCACAAAAATTCAGGATCTTTCAAACCTAGATGGCCAAGGTAAGGACAGTGTCTGGACTAACTTCTTTTGGACGCACAAATTAGATTTTTTTTAATGTGGATCCCAACAGCCTCAGCAATATTTAGTAATCGAACTCTTAAGGCGAAGTTGAGATTTGTTAGTATCCGGTAAAATAACTCTAAATAACTCGTAGAGCTGTTCTGGCTCATCTTGTGGATACAGAACATAGATTGATGTTAACCAGGCTTTTAGAGTTATTTACCGCATACCAACAAATCTCAACTCGCCTTAAGAGTTCGATTACTAAATATTGCTGAGGCTGTTGGGATCCACATTAAAAAGCCTAATTTGTGCGTCCAAAAGAAGTTAGTCCAGACACTGTCCTTACCTTGGCCATCTAGGTGTGAATGATCTCAATTTTTGTGGAAATTTCCTCGTTTTAGTTGATATCCTACTCGCTATTATATCTTTATTACTATTATAATTTAAGTATTTTTAGTGAACTGTAATTGCATTGATCATACTTTACAAATCGATATTATTTAAAAAACACCAATATTGTTATTAACTACCAATCTGGAATATTTTGTGTATATAAACATGTATATAATTGTAGAGCCAGAAGAGGAATTTATCGAAAAGAATATTCTTTGCTCGATTATTTTGTGCTTTATAATTGTCATCTGATAACCGATTTACATTCAGAGTATTTTTACCATACATTGGTTTTTATTTAGAAGTGCTGAACATAATAGCAATTGAGATAAGCGTTACTTGAGTTTTCTTAAAATGTGTTTCCATTTTATGGTTTGTAATTTACAATTTAATGATTACAGCTACAAAAAGATAGCGTAATAATAACCTTTGAAAAACCAAGATGTACAAATCTCGGAGTCTAAGGAAAATAACTTTGATATTTAAAGAGGTGCAAGTCTAGGTACAAGTCTTACAATGAACGAACAACGCAGCACAATGAACTGTTATGCTCAGAACCTGTATTACAGGGTGTCAGCGAGATTTAGCATGAAACGATAATGTACAACACAATGTAAATGTCAGAATATGCAATGATAATTTAAGAGAAAAACTCTCATTTAGTACACTGTATCACATGATAATGAAAAAAAAAACAAAGAGGGACAAGTGAAAAAGCAATAAATTGATCCAAAAACCCAATACGAAGGCTAACCTTGAAAATTTGCTATTCCTATTGGCTCTCCACGATAATTTTTTATGTACTTTACACCGTAAACGATAATTGGTCGTCGAAGGACATGACTTAAAGCGAATATGTGAATTTGTTCTAAAGCTTCACCTAATGAAAAGTAAAGTATAACAAAATAGGAAGATGTATAACAACTGATACAGATATAAACTTACATATAGATTTAATGTTAACATATGTTGGCATATAACATTTGTGGTCATGTATGAGCGGGTATTTCAAATGGCGAACTTTAGAACTACACATGAAGTTTTTATTCACTTTTAGACCGAATGACTGGTTAACAAGGATTTGTGTTTTTCAGAAGAGGTAGAAACGAGTAAAAGCTAGGAGTATTTCACAAATATTTGCTTTGAATAACGCTTCTGTGTTTAAGACATTTTAAAGTTACGATAATGGAAGAAGTTTTTGACTGAAAACTATGATGACATGAACCTTAAATAACACTGCTATGGAACTGGAAAACAGTGAATTCAGTACACTAGTGTTTATTTTCCACTGAATGCTGAATGATAAGGCATATCTTTCAGACAAAAACGTAATCATACAACTTGACTTGAGGTTTCCAGAATCGTTAGGATTTAATGCCTTAGGGAGATTACGAAGAGCAAATGTATCTGCTTCACGGACACGGAGTACAATTTTGAGCTACATCACCAACAATCTGCAGCCACTGATTTTCGGCGTCTCTAGGACTCCAACTCGTCCTCCCTACACGACCCCAACCAACTATTCAAAGCTTCATGGATAAATCTCACGTTTTGGTTAGAATAACCCTGAGTATTTCCCAGCCTAATCCTATGGTGTCAGGTAACATGAATGGACGCGGGATGATGATAACTTGGCATGCGTAACAGACATCCTAGCCATAGCAATCGATGCACCTCCACAACCTTATTAAATGACTATTCCTCCTTACCATACACTTTACGGGTAACCTCAGCATTACTCATTCTATTGAACTACTTAACGCGAGAAACAGAACGCAAACATTATAATCAAAGACTTAGAACTCATAAAGATCCATTTTATTTCTTTAAGTTCTTTAGCTGGTGGCATTTTATCGTTTGGAAGAATTGACTAAACACATAATCTTCTGAGCACATTTAACGACAATGTGATAAGGTTTGTATCACATTTGTTGTATACACCAAGTGTGAATTGCATCAATACAGGATAGGGGAAAATGGCCTAAGTATATTTATTACTTGAATTATATCAGCGCAAATATAAGTAGTGTCCAAAATAAAACTATTATTATCATTATTCAAGGTCCGGGGATCGATCCTCGGCCGACGCACTCCTTTACCTCCCTAAGCCAGAAATAATTCTGGTAAAGAGGAAAGGTTGGGCATGAGGCTAGAAACCCCATCCTGTAAAATAAACACTGCTACAGAAACTTCAAGCCGCTAGCTTGAAGCCCTATGTTCCACTGGGAATGTGAAGGAAGAAAAAAATATCCCCGGCATATGTCTCACTAGAATAACATACTCATATTGATAAGCAGGAGTTCTATTGTGAAATGTCAAAAAAAAGTCTAAAGTAGAATTGAATCCCCCTTTTGTTCGATTTAAAGTGTAGCTCTTTCAGTCTTAGATGAAGTCTGTTATGCAAAATTGAGTTCATACGAACTGAAAAAAAGAAATTCAGAAATGAATGACTCAGAAATGAAGAAATAAATAACAAATGGTGATTAATACACAATTGTTTCGTTGATTAAACTATATAGAAAATCAAAACAAGTGATTCAGCGAAGAGACTCTTTTCAACGAATTTATCATTAAGCTGTACAATCGTGTATATATGGTTTTTTTAAGAAATTCTTTCCGGTGAGGGAATTGAATCTTAGGTGTGAATGCATAAAATAATAATAATAATATGAAGTTCAAATAAAACTAAAATGTTTGTGACTATAATCGTAGTTAAATGTCAATTGTCAAAGCAAATTAATGTCATATATAGAATAATTCATAGGATGGATAGAACTTGAAAATGGGTGTGCAATTATAGGATTAGTAGACAAATCGAATAAAACAAAAACGTTACGTAATATTATGTGAAATTTAATGGCATAGAATTTATCGCTGTAAAAAAGAATTGATTTCGAATGACGAGTGGAACAAGTGAAATAATACCGGGGACAGTTCAAAGTGAGAATAGTAATAATAACAATTGACTTAATAAGAAGAGTATACAAATTGAATAGACAAAATGAAAAATTGGTAGAGCCAAAATATGATTGGGGATTATCATATTTTAGCATAGAGGGATTAAGACCATGAAAGTTGGAGGGGTTGAACGAACTTTTTCTGTACACAGAGATCTGGCTTTTCTGTTTCGATAGACAAAGCTTCAACAATATAGATGAGTCGGGTACGCAGGGATTTGGGTAGATTGCTCTTTGCCTTGTAGATGACTTTAAACGCGGAGGCTATAGAGATAGGGTGATCATTATCGACCAGATGTTCAATGATCGCGCTTCTTATTACTCCACTTCCACCTTTTCGTAGCCATGCAGGATAGTGTTCTTGCACCCTCTTAGACAAAACTCGAGTCGAACGGCCGATATACCTAGCTCCACAAGAGCAGGTGAATTAATAAACGCACATAGAGTTGGTCAACAGCGGGATCTTGTCCTTCAGGTTATTGAACAATAATGGTCGGCTAGTAAAGGCTATTCTCAGAGATGCAGCAGGGAATGTTCTTTTCAGGGACTGTGATATCCTTCGTTTCATGATATCGGAAGCTAAGTCCCCTTTGAATTCTAAGCTCATGTAAAGTATTTTCTTGGGAGCGGTTGATAAATCACGTTTTGTAGGCTTTGAATGTATATTCTTATCTATCTAATAGATAAGAAGAGAGTCTCTTTGCTGAATCACTTGTTTTGATTTTCTAAATGTTACAATGGGAATTTTCCATGGGATTAAACTATACACATAAATAATACACCTTCGCTGCCCACAATGCTCAGCATTTTAGCCAGCAATAAACGGAAAAGACTGTTATAAGTTGTGTGTTTTTTTTTTAATGTGGTATATGCTGATTTGGCATCAGGTAAACGAAGGAAGTCGTGAAATTTACGCCACTCAGTTGTTTTTTTCCATTAATTTCCTGTTTTCGATGATATTTTTTGGGCAGTTATATTATGTTATATTCAATAAGAATCAGTCTAAATCAAAAGAGTTAACAAATAGAACTGTAAAACGACATGTGTAGTTTATTTACATCAACTTTATCATGTGAAGGTTGCGGAATTTTATCACTGAACAACAAAGTTAGCGACTACTTATATGGACTAGCACATTTCTCTAATTTAAAATAGAAAGAAAATGTCAGGAAACAAGAAAGAAGTCTAAGCATATTAAAAAGAACCTAAGTATATCTGGAGGATAGTGCTGATAAAGAAGTTAAAAATGAATACAGTAACGATCCATTAAAAAGGTTCTAGCGACAAAAAAAAAACACCGATTATTGGTTAGAAATATACACAGTAAAAAGTAGAAGGAAAACAATAAAAATGACAGTTTTCAATTATCTGCTGTATGCCCAAAAAATTGACAGAGGTGACTAGTTTCCCGAATTGCAGCAGTATTGGTGAGGCACAACAAGCGGTCTGAATTGTATTCACCAGAAACAAGATCAGGATAAGTCACATCACCGACTCAAAAACACTAATGTTCATGTAAGAAATAGAGAAAGTAATAGAAGATTTCTATGTTTTTCACATGTATCAGTAGTCCGACGATTAAAAATGAGCGATGATATAAGTTGTTGCAAATTAAACTTTCCACGCTTTCGTCTCAACATACTTGTATGGGTAGAACGGAGGCGGTCAACTGCAACTTGAATATTTTGTATTACGTGTTTAGATACATGCTATAGTCATATCTGATGTTATGCTGGTTTGTTTTAAAGTTGTTTTATCGACCTTTTCGCTCAGCTGGAATATCTGTTGTAGCGTTTCCTATACTATCTGAGAAAATCCCTCGCGATAACTTTTATCTTCACTTTAGGAAGAAAACATATGAATATTAGAAGATCTTGTTGTTCATTTTATATCACCTTAGCAATTTGTTGTTATTGCCCCACAAATGTGTAGCCATTATTCTGATATTTTTTGGCTCATCATACTTAGAGCGTCGGTGGCACAGATGCAGAAGGCTCCCCAACCACGCATGCGGTCCGGAATTCGATCCCCGGCTGACGCATTCATTTATCTCTCTAAGACGCAAGGTTGGACACAAGACTAGCAACACCCTTCCCCTAAGGATAAATACCACTGCTACCGAAACCTCAAGGCTCTATCTTGAAGCTCTATGTTCCACTGGAAACGTACAGGAATTTAAAATAATATTGTACTTAAACATTACTTTTTTGTCAAGTATTTAGAATTTGTTTTAGTTCTTAGACTATCCTTTCACCGTTCCATCATTATTTTATTTGGTTATAGTACTTTACTGTCTGTATCATACTCTAGCCATGCTATTTTATATCAGATTTCTGCCACTTTGATTTCAAACTTGGTCATACATATATATGTATATATATGTATACGTTGTGTGTTGACTTACCCACTAACCAAAATTAAACAAGGTGCATTCGATGATGACAAAAATTTTGTACTTGATGACTATGTGGAAGCCTTAGAGCACAGGAAATGAAATGAATTGAGTGTTTGTAATTCTTGTTTAGCAAATATGAAATACAGGGAACAAATTGTATTAAAACTATCTACATTTGTCTAAACATTATATGCAAGTACACACGAATATTCACCTTAAAAACTCTGACCTACATTTCATCATTTTGATACTGCCTAGATTCATTGATCCTTATATATATATATATATATATATATATATATATATATATATATATATATATATATTCACATGAATTTCACAGTCTGACTACATACATAACCTATTTTTCGAATTTTAATCATTATAGTTGACAGTTTGTGGTCATTTAAGGTGAACAAAAACTAAAAATGCACAATGGTGGCCATTTAATGCTACACAAATGGTACTATCGCATAATATGCTGTAGCATCTTTCTCAACGAACAATGTTAGCTGATATAGGATCAGG